ATTATTGTACAAATAGTAATGTTCGATAGGTAAGAACTTTGTTATATGTACACTATGGTGTACACTTTAGATTACACTTTGCAACGTGACATGACCTTGTTGGATAGTTTAAATTTTAAACTGTTTTCCCATTCAACTAACACTTGACAATAATGTAGTTTTCAAACAACGCGTCCAAAGTCAGTGTACATATAGAAAAGTTCAATCAGTAAGAACCTTACTTCATGTAAAATATGGTGTACACTTTATTTTACACTTTGCCACGTGACATTACCCTGTTGGACAGTTAAAATTTCAACTAGTTCTCCCATCCAATTGACACTCAACATCAATGCAAGTGTCAAACAACGTGACAAAAATTAGTGTACAAATAGCAAAATTCAATCGTTAAGGACCTTACTACATGTACACTATGGTGTATACTTTAGTTTGCACTTTGACATTACCCGGTTGGACAGTTTAAATTTCAAAATTTTTTCCATCTAATTGACACTTGACTACAAAACAAGTGTCAAACAACGAATCCAAAATCAGTGTAGAAAGAGCAAAGTTCAATCGGTAAGAACCTTGCGACATGTACACTATGGCGTACACTTTAGTTTACACTTTGCAATGTGACATTACTCTGTTGGGCAGTTTAAATCTCAAACAGTTTTCACATCCAATTGACACTTAATAATGATGCAAGTGTCAAAGAGCGTATCAAAAATCAGTGTACAAATAGCAAAGTTCAACCGGTAAGAACCTTGCTACATGTACACTATGGGGTACACTTTAGTTTACACTTTGCCACGTGACATTACCTTGCTGGACAGTTTGAATTTCAAACAGTTTTCCCATCCAATTGACACTTGACAACAATCCAAATGTCAAACAATGTGTCAAAAATCAGTGTAGAAATAGCAAAGTTCAATCAGTACGAACCTTGCTACATGTACACAATGGTATACACTTTATTACACTTTGCCACGTGACATTACCCTGCTGGACAGTTAAAAATCAAATAGTTTTCCCATCCAATTGACACTTGACAACAATGCAGGTGTCAAACAACGTGTCAAAAATCAGTGTACAAATAGCAAAGTTCAATCGGTAAGAACCTTGCTACACGTACACTATGGTGTACGCACTTTAGGTTACACTTTGCCACGTGGCATTACCCTGTTGGACAATTTAAATTTCAAATAGTTTTCCCATCTAATTGACACTTGACTACAAAGCAAGTGTGAAACAACGTGGTCAAAATCAGTATACAAATAGCAAAGTTCGATTGGTAAGAACCTTGGTACATGTACATTATGGTGTACACTTTAGTTTACACTTTGGCACGTGACATTGTCCTGTTGGACAGTTTAAATTTCGACCGTCGACCAGCCCTATGGTTGGCCGTCCCTCGCCACCCATTAAGTCCTGTGGCTTGTCCGGTCCTTCGATCCGCCCTTGTAGTGACTCGCCCCCTTCATCCGGCAGATCCATTTATGATATTGATAGTGAAACTCATTCAATTGATTCTCAGCCGTTTGTTCCAAATCTCCTGAAGAGACACATCGGTTCTTCTAAATCTCCAAGCCAAAATTTAGAAATCGAGCGTGACCCGACCGGTGAGGTTGTCCCCCTAGATATCCCAAAAAGTTATAGTCTCTACAATTCGCCACTTAAGTTGGAAAAATGTCTAGGTAAGTATGACCGGGTTGATGATTACGTCTATAGAGCCCCCGGTCCTAAAGAAAGGCTCCCCGGGTCCGACCCCCGTGAGATAGCCGTGTACAAGGATGTTATGGACGGGGGTTTTCGGTTCCCCATTCATCCCTTTTTTGTGTCGATTTTCAACGAGTTCCACCTTACTCCTGGTCAAATTAATCCTAATGCATAGAGAAAAGTGTTATATTTTCTGTATGTCTGTCTCAAAAAGGGAATTTCACCTTCCATGGATCTTTTCAGGTGTGTCTTCGAAATGCATGAGCTAGTTCAATGTAATGCATTTGTCTATTTTACCACTAGAGTACCTTTGCAATTCCCTAAGTTTAAGAATTCGAATAGCGGATGGAAGTCCCAATTTTTCTTCGTCCGGCCTTCAAAGGGACAGTTCTCTTTTAACACAAACTGGCGACACCCCCAAATTCGTCTCTTCAATAGCCAAGTAGAAGTTACTCCCTTTCTAGAAGCTCAAATCCAGGACTTGGTTGATGTTCCACCTTTTGCACCTTACTTAGGGTCAGTCCTAACCATGAAGAACAAGTTGAAAGTGGGGATGAGTCGTCCAATCGGTAGGTCGTTTATGTTGTTTTTCATTTTTTTTATCACATGCACACACGTTCATTTATTATTTTTGCCTTTAGCTCGTCGAGGCTAATGAGTTTGGATGTGTGTTTTAGGTATGGACTTTGATCTTGATGAGGTATTGAAGACTCTGTCAGGAGGAGATGAGGGCCTTACCTTCGTTGATGGTAAGCTTTCATGTTAACCCCCACCCTCTCTCCCTTTTTTTTTACTCTACCTTGTGATCTTAACCAATTTCAACTTACATGTGTAGGGGCCGAGCTTGATCTGGATGGAGTCATGGATTCCATGCCTGACCAGGGGCAGGAGGGTGAGGTGGATCCTTCGCCTGTCCCTTCAAAGAGAAGGAGGGGGGCCGACCTTGGGAGAAAGTCTCAGACGATCAATGAGACTTCTCAGCCTTCAGATGAGCCTCGTGATGTGGCTCCAGCTCCTAGGCCGGGAGCTCCTAGTCGTGCACATTGTGAGCACGAGGACTCGCTTCCTAACTTTGGGTTTCCTCCCATCTAGGGCTATCATGAGATGGGGGTGCTTAAGTCGTTGGTGACCCCCGCTCGATCCAGAGCGATTGCAGGGCGCAGCGTAGATGACATTGAAAGGGTTGCGGCTATTTACCTTCAGAGGGTATGTTTCCCATTTCAAGATTTCTTTTATGTTGGATCTTGCCTTTTAAGTTAGATTTTAACTCGTGGTTTCATTCTTTTTCCCCTATACATTTTTTTTAGGTGGTGGCCCTCCAGATTGGACTCGTTGAGTCAAATCACTGCCTGGTCTCAGAGCTGAAAACTTTTACTGAAGAAAAGAAAAAGGAGGCTCATCACCACAAGAAGAAAATATCCTCCTTGAGGAAATCTCTGGAGACGTCCAACGCTCGAGCTCGTGAGCAGGAGACGGAGATCGACAACCTACGTTTTATTTTGGTTCGTGCTCCTGAAGAGGCGATTGAGAGGTATAAGGCTTCAGATGAGTACGCTGGAGATCTCAAGGCGTCTGTGGATCAGTATAAGTCATCGTTCGATTATGCCAAGGCTTTGAACTCATACGGGGGGAAGGCGATGTCAGCATCAATTAAGCTCTCCAAGGAGTGGATTATGGCTGAACATCCTTCTATAGACCCCTCTGGTCTGGATAGATTTCTTGCACAGCGCAGTCATCCAGATCACTCAGTCGTTCATCACAAGGTGGTAGTGGGGATGTCTCCCCTTCGAGCTGAAGCATTTCTTAGTTGTTATTTTCTTTGCTAGTTTTTCCTTTTTAGTGTTTACTTTTGTTTAGCCTTGTTATCTCCTACTTGCTCGGGATGTGGGCAAGAATTCTTCGAATGTATAAAAACGTCTTTCATTCGATATCTTTGGCGCTAGATGCGTGGTTCCTTTAAATTGTCGTCTCTCCTGTTATTTTTCTTTTTACTGATTGATGGTACGGGGGAGTGTTCATATATATATATATATATATTTTTTTTTTATGGCTCTCTACCTAGTCGCATAGGCTACGTCGACCGCAGGGGGTGATTTGGTGATTAAGGGCCTTAGCTAATTTTTTGACTTTTCGAGACTCTCCGCCTAGCCACGCAGGCTATGTCGACCGCAGGGGGTGATTTGGTGGTTAAAGGCCTCAGCCAATTTTTTGACTTTTCAAGGCTCTCCACCTAGCCGCGCAGGCTACGTCGACCGCAGGGGGTGATTTGGTGGTTAAGGGCCTTAGCCAATTTTTTGACTTTCCAAGGCTCTCCACCTAGCCGCGTAGGCTACGTCGACATCATGTCTTAGTGGGATGGGCATGGATTTCAAAGTTGTCTGTTGGCATAAAAAATTCCTGGTCTTGTGAGACCAGTAAGCACACCAAGACATCCCAGCTAGGCTGGCCCTTCCATAGCGCCCTCATCATCCATCACCGCCAAGGTCTTTCATTGAATAAGATAAATTATTACAACTAAGGGTGCCTTCGTGAGGCATTACATAGAGAAAATAAATAATGCAACCTAATCTACTATATTTACAAAAGTGCAGCCAGCGCATACATTTCAAATTCTACTGGTAATACTTTTTGAGGTGTTCTGCATTCTATGGTCTACCTAGCGGCCTTCCTTTTATATCTTTCAAGCTGTAAGCTCCCTTTCCCAGCATGCGGATTACTTCGTACGGGCCTTCCCAGTTTGGACCAAGCTTTGGTGGGGGGTGTCCTGTCGCTGCTGCATCTCTTAGCACGAGATCTCCTGGCTGGAAGACCCTTAGCTTCACTCTCCAATTGAAGTACTCAATGGCTCTTCGTTTATAAGCCATCATTCTTATCGCCGCCTTGTCCCTTACCCCTTCGAGGAGGTCGAGTTCTCCCCTAGTCGCTACGCCGTCGGGTTGCTTGACTTTCATCCTTCCTGTCTCGCTTAAGATCTCAACCGAAACTATTGCTTCCATCCCAAAGGCCAGTTTGAATGGCGTCTCCCCGGTCGATTCTCGAGGGGTAGTGTGATATGTCCATAGTACATTGGGCAACTCCTCAGCCCAAAGTCCTTTTTCTTTTTCCAACCTTGTCTTCAAATCCCATAGTATGGTTCGGTTGGTAACTTCAGCCTATCCATTTGCCTGTGGGTGAGCAACTGAAGTCAGCCTGTGGTCGATGTGGTAACTTGTACAGAAGGCTCTAAAACTGTGATTATCGAATTGTTTTCCATTATCTGTAATGATTACCCGAGGTATACCAAACCTGCATATGATATTTTTCTAGATGAATCCCTGTATCTTTGTAGTCGTGATGGTGGCCAAGGGCTCAGCTTCCACCCACTTAGTAAAGCAGTCGATGGCAACTAACAAGAACTTCCTTTGTCCTTTTGACAGGGGCAAAGGTCCCAAGATGTCCATCCCCCATTGGAAGAAGGGACACACTCCGAAAACTACCGTTTGTTGCTTGGCTGGAATGTGGATCAGATTTCCATAGCATTGGCATGCATTGCATTTTCTCACCAACTCTCTAGCATCTTCCTTCATACTAGGCCAATAATATCCTTGTCGAAGCGTTTTGAACGCAAGGGTAGTCGCCCCTTGGTGGTTACTACAAATTCCTGCATGTACTTCGACTAGCACCACCTGTGCTTCTGTCGATCGCAAACGCTTCAAATATGGCATTGTGAAGCCTCGCTTGTAGAATAGCCCATCGATGATGGCAAATGAGGCTGCCCAAACTTTTAGCCTTCTTGCTGTGAGAGCATCCTCCGGCAATTTATTTTTTGTGAGATATTTAAACAGTGGGTCTATCCAACTTTCCTCATTCTCTACATTCATAACATCGATTACGTGTTGGATGCTAGGTTGTCGCAGAATTTGCACACTGGCTGTGTGAGGCAATCGTCTGAGGTTGGCTGATGCGAGCTTAGCTAGCGCGTTCGGTCGCTCATTGTCCTTTCGAGGGACCTTAGTTATCTTAAACTTGGTGAACCCCTTCTGCAAGTTTTTGACCTCCATTAAATATGCAGCTATCTTTTCATCCTTTGCTTCGAATTCCCCCGTCACTTGCCTGATTATCAACTGAGAGTCGCTGCAAATTTCCACTGAGGTCACCCAGAATCTGGCTGCCAATCCCAAACCCCTAATTACTGCTTCGTACTCGACCTTGTTATTTGTAGCAGGGAATTCAAAATGCAGTGAGTATTCCAACTCTTCCTCATTCGGACCTATCATTATGATTCTCGCCCCGGATCCTTCGTCATTTGAAGATCCATCGACAAAAATTCTCCAATCTACCTGTTTCCCTGGTGGGTGCTCGGGCGGGGTGGTGAGCTCGACGATGAAGTCTGCTAAAGCTTGTGCCTTAATAGCTGTCCTTGGCTTGAATTCGATATCAAACTCACTTAACTCGATGGCCCATTTCAACAACCTCCCAGAGGTCTTGGGCCGATGTAGAATCTGCTTGATAGGTTGGTCAGTCATTACTTGCACCGTGTGAGACTGAAAGTAAGGCCTCAATTTCCTAACCGCGACAATTAATGCAAACACTAGCTGTTCAGTCAGGCTGTATCTTATCTCTGCGCCCCTCAATACTTAGCTCACATAGTAGACTGGTTTTTGAGCCTTCGAGAACTCTTTCACCAGGACCGCGTTGACTGCCTTTGGTGATACTGCCAAGTAGAGACACAACACGTCCCCAGGAGATGGGCTGGTCAACATTGGGGGCTCTTGTAATGACTGCTTCAAGTTCCTAAGAGACTCTTCGCATTCCTGGGTCCACTCAAAATTGGAGGAGCCCCCTATAGCTTTGAAGAAGTGGTAGCATTTGTCCCCCGCCCCACTCATGAAACGATTTAATGCTGCTACCCGCCCCGTCAGCCTCTGAACCTCCTTCCTGCTGGTGGGGCTTTTCATTTCTAGGATTCCCCGAATTTTGTCCGGGTTCACTTCGATGCCCCTTTGCGTGATCATGAAACCTAGAAATTTTCCCCCTACGGTACCAAAAACACACTTCTCTGGATTGAACCTTAATCTATTTTGTCGGGCAACGTCAAACACTTTCTGCAAACAGGCCACATGGTCATCGGCTCTGGCACTCTTGACCACCATATCGTCAACATAGACTTCTACGACACCTCCGATTAGCCCACGAAAGACTTTGTTTACCATCCTCTGATACGTTGCTCCTGCATTTTTCAAACCAAATGGCATGGCTGTGTAACAGTACTTGCCAAAGTCCGTGATAAATGATGTCTTCTCTTGATCGGACTCGACCATTGAAGTTTGATGATACCCCGAAAATGCATCTAGAAAGCTGAGCCTTTCATGACCCGACGTTGCGTCTACCAGTTGATCTCTTCTGGGAAGTGGGTATGAGTCTTTTGGGCATACCTTGTTCAACCCAATATAGTCTACACACATGCGCCATTTTCCGTTTGACTTCTTCACAAGTACAATATTTTCCAACCACTCGGGGTATTGCACCTCTCGGATAAAACTCGCCTGTAGCAATTTTTCCACTTCTGCTCTGGCCGTAGCCTGCCTCTCAGGGGCAAGGTTTCTCTTTTTTTGCTTCACTGGCTTAGCCCCTGGCTAGACACCGAGGCGGTGCTGCGCGACAGTTGGGCTAATCCCCGGGATATCCTTTGGGTTCCAAGCGAAGACATCCAAATTACCGGCTAGACACTTTGCCAATTTTTCCTTCTCTTCGGATCCTAGACCTGTTCCAACAAGAAACTCCTTTCCTTTGGCAATAAAGATTTTTTCAATAATATCAAGTGGCTCGATCCACTCCCTCGGGAGTTCTACATCCAGCATCATGACTGATGGTGGGCTTTTGGCTTGTATACTATCCACATAGCACTTTCTTGATGCATGCTGGTCTCCTCGCACGCTCCCGATCCCCCTGCTGGTTGGGAGCTTCATAATTTGATGATAGGTCGATGGGACCACGCCAGCTACATTTAGCAATGGTTGGCCGTAGATAGCTCTGCAAGCCATAGGGGTCCTGACAACCAAGAAATTAGTCACGATCACCACTATCGCTGGGTATGTCCCAAGCATGACTGAAAGCTCTACAGTCCCTTCCGGTATCACTGTTGTCCCTCCAAAGCCTTGTAGGGGGTAGTCACCACCTTCAACCTTTCTTGGGGGATTTTTAGATCCAAGAAGGCATCCTAGGTGAGGACATTTGCCGCACTCCCTCCATCGCCTAACATCCTCTTCACGTCAAAATCCGCAATATCGCCTACTATTACTAAGGCGTCATCATGGGGGTGTGCTACACCAATCAAGTCCTCTTTATCGAAAGTTATACTCTGGTTGAATCTTGCTTTTTTCTGAATAGAGCAGACCCCTACTGAATACGCATAGCTCTTCCTAGCTGAATTTGAGTCGCCCCCTGATGCTACTCCTCCGATGATCATGTTTATCACTCCTGCCCTTGGTGGGGATAGACCTTCGACCCTTTGCCTGCCCTTATCGTTTTTCACATACTTTGCCAATAGCCCCGTCTCAGCAGGCGCTCAATTTCTTCCTTTAACTGTAGGCATTCTTCGATATCATGCCCGTGATCTTTATGAAAATGGCAGTATTTACTTTGATTTCTCTTGCTCGAAGGGGTTAGCATTGGTTTGGGCCATTCGAGCTCCTTCATGTGCTGTATCTCCATCAATAACTTTGTTCCTGAAATGTTCAAAGGGGTGGGTGTCTTGAGCTCTTCTCATTTTTGCCTGACTGACCAGTCTTGGGCAAAACTCTTGCTTGTGCATTCATTCTTCAGCTTATTTTTATCATTGTGCCTTTACTCATCATATGTTTTTCGCTTATTAGCTTCCATCTCCCTTCTCTCCTTGAGATTTTTAGTTACCTTCTCCGCTTCCTCCGCATCAACATACTTGTCTCCCTTCTTTAATAGGTTATGCAACGACTTCGGGGGGTTCTTGGAGAGTGACATCTTAAAGGCCTAGTTTCGCGTTCCATTCATCAAGGCTGTAACCACTGCGGACATTTGCAGGTCTCTTATGCCAAGAGTCACCCGGCTGAACCTAGCTAAGTATTTCTGCAATGACTCATCTTTGTCCTGTACAACCTACATCAACCCAATGGTTGTCTTCCTTTTCCTATTGCTGCTTAGGAAGTAAGCCACAAAGCTCCTGGAGAGCTCATCAAATGACTTGATGGAACGTGGGGCCAAGGTTGCTACCCGGTCCCTAGCCTCCCTCCTGAGTGTGGGGAGAAAGGATCGGCACATCGCTGCGTCCGGGGCGGCATAAAGTCTCATCAGATCCACGAAGGTTAGTAGATGGTCAAGCGGGTTTGTGACTCCATCATAGGCTTCAATCATGGCCTGTTTGAAGCCTTTGGGCAAAGGGACCGCTATGATTTCTGGGGCGAACTGGTCTTCCTCCAAAACCATCTGTCTCCGCCTATCCTTTCTCTTGGACAACGCATCGTCTATCTTCTGGGACATGATTTCTTCCATCTTTCGTTCCAGGTCTACCATGGTTTGCGGGGGCTATTGAGCTACGGTCATTGGGGCTCCCGCGTCTCCCGCTCCCCGCTGAGAGATGGGTGGGACAACTACGGGTGGCGCTTGAGGCGATTGTTGATTCGTCACTTCCGTCAGGCTTAAATGAGGGGTGGTGGTTCTCTGCGATTGGTCTTGTAAGAGCACCATCATTGCTGCCAACTGGTTCTCCAAAGCATTGAATTGACTCTGCGTCATATACTGCGGGGGCGGTGGTGGTTCATGACCCCTTGCAACTGACTCCGACTCCGTCTCCACCGTGTTCCCAACCAGGCGAGTATCACTTCTTGTTCATCTTCTTGACATGGCTTTTTAGTTCAAATGAGTTTCCCACAGATGGCGCCAATGAAAGGACGGTGGAACAACACCCTTCTGTTTGCCCAGTAATGCTTGGCGTTTCTACCACTTCGTCAAGTATGCAAAACCTGAAAAATGAAGGTGGGGCTTTCTCTCCCGTTTTACCTCCCGCGTGAGAATTAGTTTTTAGACTTGGAAAGAATATATTTGAAATTCAGATGGCTAAAACGAGAAATGAGAGAAAAAAAATCCCTTACCTGTGTCACATCTGGGGGTATTTATAAATATTAGGCACTAGGTAACCGCTGGACGGTTGTGGTGCCACGTGTCCCACGTTGGTATTCCCACTACACCCACGTTCTAAGTGATGAGTCCTTAACTTCCCACCTGAAGATTGTACCTGTATCAGCGGCCATGGAACCTGGTCAATTCATTAAAGGTTTTATGGCTAAGTGTTTGGACAAGGAATATCATTCCCGTTGAGGACTTTGCTTAGAGGTAGAATGATTTCTAGGGATAGTGGTAGAGTGCCATTTGGGGGTTGTAGTAGAGCGCCTCCCGAGCGTAGTGGTAAAACGCCTTTTGGGGGTTGTGGTAGAGCGCTCCCTGGGCGTAGTGGTAGAATGCTCCTCTCGACGTATCGATAGAACACCCTATGGGGGTCGATGGCCTTGCATCGGAGTGCTGTAATCTGCCTTGTCATTGAGGGTGGCTACTTCTACCAACCTATATCATTACCTATTGAACTTTGCTATTTGTACACTGATTTTTGACACGTTGTTTGACACTTGCATTGTTGTCAAGTGTCAATCGGATGGAAAAACTGTTTGAAATTTAAACTGCCCAACATGGTAATGTCACGTGGCAAAGCGTAAACTAAAGTATAGACCATAGTGTACATGAAGCAAGGTTCTTACCGATTGAACTTTCCTATTTGTACACTGATTTTTTACACGTTATTTGACAGTTACATTATTGTCAAGTGTCCATTGGATTGGAAAGCTGTTTGAAATTTAAACTATCCAATAGGGTAATGTCAAGTGGTAAAGTGTATACTAAAGTGTACACCTTAGTGTACATGTTGCAAGGTTCTTGTGATTGAACTTTGCTATTTGTACACTGATTTTTGACACGTTGGTTGACACTTGCATTGTTGTCAAGTGTCAATTGGATGAGAAAACTGTTTGAAATTTAAACTGCCCAACAGTGTAATGTCACGTGGAAAGTGTAAACTAAAGTATACACCATAGTGTACATGAAGCAAGTTTCTTAACGATTGAACTTTGTTATTTGTACACTGATTTTTGACACGTTGTTTGACAATTACATTGTTGAAAAGTGTCAAGTAGGAGGAAAAAATGTTCGAAATTTAAATTGTCCAACAGGATAATGTCAAGTGGCAAAATGTAAACTAATGTGTACACCATATTGTACATGTTGCAAGGTACTTTGCTATTTGTAAACTAATTGTTGACATGTTGTTTGACACTTGCATTGTTTTCAAGTGTCAATTGGATGTGAAAACTGTTTGAAATTTTAACTGTCAAACTGGGTAATGTCACGTAGCAAAGTATAAACTAAAGTGTTCACCATAGTGTACGTGCAGCAAGGTTCTTATCCATTAAACTTTGCTATTTGTACACTGATTTTTTTGATA